CAGCCGGACCGGAAGCATTCCTGCCTGTGAAATTTCCAGAGTCTCACAGTGTCTGTATACCATTCTGACCCTTACCCACACATGTATTCTGGAGTTCTACACTCCGGTAATTGTTTTAATATTTCTTGATCCTCAAGCTGTTCCTAATTCTTACCTTGTAGTATGCGTAGGGTAGGGCCTGACTACACAGAGAAGATGGTGTGAACTGAAGTAGGGTAAGAAGGTAAAGCAGAACAGCAATTCCTCACTGAATGTCTTTGTTTCAACTTAATCCATTCATTATGTGGATGGAATACTCACTGTATGGCATAAAAGTGTCCACATGAGAAAATATTAGGAAATAGCTACTCCACGCTGCTTCTCCATATGAACAATTTACTCCTCTCCAGCACAGCTGACAACAAACAATCCTGAAATGTCATGGTTTTTACATTCTCCTGATCCAGTTTTCATACTTTATCATTCTAATAGATCCATAATTGGAGCCAGAAATATCTGAGAGGACTAATTATACTGCAGTCACAAAGATTCTCTTTCACTCTTTTGACCACCTCTCTTTTTTAATTCCCCATCAATTTAATAAGATTAATGCTTCTCTTTCTTTTCAGATCATTAAAAATACTATTTGTTGAGGGATTTTGTTGAGAATATTAATCAACTCTGGTCTTTTCTAGCCTTGATGGGAAAAATGTCACAAATTAATTCCTCAAGTCGCATTAATATTGCACACTTTTGGCAGAAATTCACCTCTCAGATGTTTCATTTTTAATTCCTTGCATGTTTCCTTGCATGATCAAAACTAGCTGAAGACCCAGCGATGCATATCAAGGGGCATATACTTTTGCTCACCTGAGTTCAGTTGATAGCGTAATTTTGGTTTAAGGATTTTTCCGTAGTTTGTATGCCACAGATTTCTCCTAGCTGTATAATTGGGAGACATAAATTGTCACATTTATGCTGATTTCAATTTAGTTTAAAATGAAGTCATGAAGACTTCATCATTTATTCCTGCAGTTTTGTCCGCTCAACAACACGTGGGCCAAAACTGGAAATGTTAAAGAAGCTGACAACAATTTGATGGGTATCCCAAAACATGAGGAGGAGGATGTTCTGTAAGAGATGACAGGAGGAGCTATGTACCACTCATACAGTCTTTAATGAATTTGTAGTTGATCTCCTCACTAGTCCTCTTTTGAAGTTCTACTATGCTTAGATTCAATTAAATGCTTCTATTATCTAAAGTCTTTCCATATTCATGTTGCTAAATAACTAACAATTTAAAAAATTTTTCTTTTTACTAGAAAACATTGAATTTTGCTGAAATATTTCATACTTTAGTACATTTAAGCTTGACAAAGTAAGAAAATGGTTTAATTTTTATGCCTCTTTTTGGAAGTATAATCAATTTTTAAGTGAATTTTTTAAAGAAAACAAATCAAAGGCTGTAATTTCATATTGCCTGTCTTTCATTTCTTACAATTAGTTTAGAAAAATAAAACCTCTTTTAGATTACACTGGCAGCAATGTATGTGAAAACCTCTTAGATTGCTATTTTGTCACCAATTAGGTTATCACACTTTGAAAACTGTCTTAATTTGCTTAGATCAAGCATTTTTCATAATATTTTCTTAGCAGTTTACGTTAAAAAAGTTTCAGCATTTCATTTCATTGAGTTTCTCACCAGGCTTAACTGATATAGTTGTATTGCTGAGTTTAAAACTAATAATAGACATGCTATTATTACATACATAGTGAGATACATAGTGGAGAAGAAATCTCTTTTAATCTTTTAAATCTTTTTAAAATTTAAAATCTTTTTAATTTTTTAATCGTTTTCTTTTCTACTAGTAAGTATATTAGTTATGTATTCTTTGTGTAATTGAGTTTTGTTGTTTGCATTAGAATCTCGTCCTTTGTCACTTCCTGTGAAAACCATGCTGAACTCATCTGAAAGCTGCAGAAGTCCTGAAGAAAGAATGAAGGAATTTATTGGAATAGTGTGGAATGCAGTTAAGTGCCTTACACTTCAGGTAAGATGAAAAGGAAGTGAAAAAAACCTATGTCTTTCCAAACTTTATGATTCTTTTTATGCATCCTAGTGCTTTTTATTAGAGGGTTTTTAAAGGAGCTCCCAAGTTTTATTGTTTTATTTCAGTAGTTTCAAAGTCTTAGAGAACGAAAAATAGAATATAGATTTTTGGTAACTTAAGACAAGAATGCTTTGGTTTTAGAATATTAGTTTTCAGAATACTTTTTATATCTAAGAGGAAGATCCTTAAAAATATATATATAGGAAGAAAAAATGCTTGTCACACTTTTCTGTATTATAAACATAGTTATACACCTTTTTATCCATAGTTAGATTTGCAGAATACCTTCCTTTTAAAAATATTTGAGGAAAGTGTGTATGATAAATACTTTCTTGGGGTGTACGATACAATATGATGGTTCAGCTGCTTACTTGTCTACCTTTTCATAAAGGAGAAGTAGATGACCACTCGGATTAAACCATTTCATCCTAGACTGCTCTAGATTGTGATCGCTGATCAGTAAAAGCAGAGTTTTCATGTAGCAGTATATGCGCATGCTTTACATGAAAAAAGCCATGTTAGAAGTCCAGTGCTGAGATTATGATCTTAACTAGATGGCTTAGAAATGCTGGAATTGGGACTCTCTTCTTCCAAGGATAAATAAAGTGCCTGCTTAGATATTACCCTAACTTAGAATTATTTTAATCTGTGCCTTTTGAACAGGATATTCTATGAGATTGGTATTTTATGGTATATCAGCATATAGTAGCAAAACTGGGTTTGTGTTAAAATAAAATTAAAAAATACTCAAACCACCCTATTTCTGACAGAAAGTAATTGTGCCTGTTCCTTTTTCCTACCAAGGAATATGTTTGTTTATATACAGGCTCATCCCAGAACCTGGGTTTGTTTTACTCCTCTCCCAAACAGAAAGTACTTTGGGTTCAAAATATTAGAAAGTTTGAAAATTTAAGTTTTGCCTAAGCAAGAACTTCAGACTTGATTTAATTGCAGAACATACTGAAGTTGAGGAGATGCTTTCTACTAACTAGTTTTCAGCCAGCCCTTTCATCACTGTTTCATGAGCATTTTGCTTATTTTCCCTTCTTTCTTAATGTTGTCACCACTGGAGATTAAAACGGCTAGATAAGGGGAGTCAAGAGAGGTAATTTGTAAGGCGTTTGAAGGAGCACTGTATTTTTGTTTTGTGTCTGGGTGGTATCTAGCACAATGGGACTCCTTGAATAAATGAGGCTTGCAGTTTGAGTCATAATAAAAATAATATAACAATGACGATGATAAGAGCTGGATCCTTTATAAATGGGAAAAATTGAATCAGGACTAACATATTCTGCTCATAGATTTTTCCAAGGTATGCTCTGTTACTTGAGGAACCAGCAAAGTGAATTTCTTTCGAAGAATGGTTAAGGTACTGACCAGCTAAAAATGAAGTTTGCCTGTTGCCAAATTAAAAAAAAAAAAAAGGAAAAAAAAGAAAAAAAAGAAAAGAAAAAAAAGGTTGTATTCAAACTAGTAGGTTTTTTTGTGAAGATGAAAGCTGATGACAGTGATAGGCACATGTTTTCTCAGAGAGTAATTTGTGACTATATTGCTGCTCTGACATAATATGCTCATGGATTAGAGCTAATACTGGCAGAGGATTTTTTTGTGTTAGATACTCTTTCTGGTTCTGGTTTGAGGTTCTAGATTTATTTACTTTTTTGGGGTTTTGGGGTAAGGTATTCGTGCTTTCAATATTCATCAGTATGAATATGAAATTGTATTTTTACTTCTTATCTGTGTTGAAATTAAATGGCCCTATGAATTCATAAAACAATTTACACGCTTCTCATGTGTTTCATCCTTATGCTTTGATTATACTTGGTAAAGTATATGCCAATATCTTGCCAGAAGGACAATACATGTTACCAGTGAAATGTTTCAACAGACTCCAAGGAAACACTATAGGAAAAGTCCAAGAACGTGCTTCCAAACAAATATGCAGTAGTCGTTCTTAGTGAAATATGAAGGATTTATAGATATGCTTACTGTTCTTTAATTATTGCTAGTAGTCCCTATGTCTAATTTTATTTAAATACATATTTTTCAAGACACAAATGCATATAAGTAGCTTTTTTCCTTCCAGACCAGCCTAAATGGGGAAGCTAAAATTTGTGCAGTCAATATATAGAGGATAAGATGATGAGGGTTATGACTCTGTTTTTCAATTCAAGTACAGTATATTTATTTTATTAAACATAATATGCATTTTATTAAACACATAAATATATTTATGTGTTAAATTCATAGAGATTTTCTCTATTTTATTATCATTTGGCATGAAAAAGGCAAATTTCTAGAATATTTTGTCTGGTTCAATGCTGGAGTGCTTAGACTCTAAGGTTTTTTCTAAAGCTATTTTCATGTTCCTGGATCTTTTATTAATACGATTGTAGAACAGAAAAGTCTATAGTTGTCGTCAGATAAAACAGAACTCCATAACTTAAAATCATCAAAGGATTATTCTTTTAGTGGAAGTTTGAGTAAGTAAATGTGTTTGGAACCAAAGTAACTGGAAAGTTTATTTTGGATCCAAAGCTGATACTCGCTTTGCCCTAGCCCTGGCTTGCTCATGACAGAATATTGCATGAAGATTTTGTGCATTGGAGTTGTGGTAACCTGTTAGTATTTAAGTGAAAAGACTTTCATACTTAACTATAAAAAGTTGTTTTTATTATTTAGTTGTTGTAGGATTTTATATGCAGCCTTGAAGTCTTTTGGCAGTTACACCGTGTAGGAGGGTAATACTTGCTTTCCACGTGTTCTTCATGCTAATAGTTGCTAAAATTGTGGAGCAGTATAAACATAATTATTTTTAATTGGTTGTTAATGCTGAATTCTAGTGAGAACAATGATGGATCTGTATTAAAAGCAAATGAATTAATGAATAATGTTGCAATGAATTCCAGCTAAATAAGAGTGTAATTATTACATATAAAACTTAGCCAGATATTCCATGTGCCTGATATTCCATGTGCCTGAAATTATTTGAAAAAATGAGTCTGTTTCCTGAAATTATTGAAAATAATATTTTCTTTAAAGCCTATAACTTGTACAAAGTTTTAGTCAAAATGAAACACTGATTGAAAGAACAGAAATGTAAAGATGAGATTGACTAAAGCTCCTGTTCTTTGAACAGTGGTTTGTGTTCAGGGGTCAGGAAGAGATTCTGTGACTTGTAACTTAGCAGTTACAGCTATCAGCAGTTACTCAGCGGTTACGAGACAGGATGGTTTCTTAAGTTGGTTACTTACCACAAACTGACAAAAAAAGAAATTTTCCATAACTAAATAAAAACTTTTTAAAATCAAGAGTTCTTAGAGAAGAATAGGAATACTGTGTAGTGCTAAGACAAATTTTAAGTGGTCAAAGAAAATACAACTGATCCTTATTATACTCATTCATGTGTACAGGTAGTTTGCTTGCTTAGTTCTCTTACTCATGTGCTCTGCTTTCCATTTATATAATTTTTGCTTTTTGTCTAACATCAAAACATGACTTTATGGCCTGCCTTTTTAAATTCTAACCAACAGCGCGTGTCTGGCTCAACTGCAGATGGTCTCATTGGGAAGAGCTAATTTGGGTGTTCAGAGGCTGAGGGATGGTCTTATAACCAGAACCCCTACATGAGATGTGTAACGGTGGTTCTTTGCAGTTTTGGGAGTCATTGCAAGATTATATTCTGTACCTGAAACTCCCAGAAAAACACATTAATCTTTCTGCCAAAAGAAGATGATGGATGGCGGTTAATGCTGAGAGAGGCCACTTCCCAGGAGACACCTTTATGTGATTGTCACCTTGTGGATCATCTTCAGTGCCTCTAATTGGTTTATATAGCTGTAAAATGTGAGTTAGGGAAGGGAATCTCCTTATGGTATCACTATGATGAAAGGCTGTAAAGACTCTTGTACAGCCTGTCCCTCCTCGTTGCACTTGTGCAGGATAACTGTGGAGTGTCAGTTGTTTTCTTTCACTCCCTCCCACCCACCCTCCTCAGTTAGGAAGACCTGATTCTTCTGCAGTATATATTTCACTATTCTATCTATCGAGCAACATTCTCTTTTTATAAAATATGAATTAGAAATACTCCATTTATTCCAGTAACTTAATACTTTCCTTTTTATACAACAGTCTTAAAGTCATTGCACTTTTTTAGGCTTACATATTAGTGAAAACTTAGAGCAATATGCTTTGCATAAGTTTTTAAAAGTAGAAGGGAAAATACGGCTTGCCTCATTGGCTTATCATTAGCGTACATTACTTAGTATGTATAGGCCTTGACATAATAGAAATGAAAATAGGGGGTGATTCTGTTTCAAGAATTTGTAATAATTCCTTCTCTTTAACACATGAATGTGTTCAGTATTGGCAAAAGAACACGTTGCTACCAAAACTGAAATAAGATCCTTGAAACAGAAAGGATGTTGCCATGGAAAAATGAAGTAACACTCAGTGCAGCTGCGAAGCATTAATGAATAGGATATTTTTTTAAAAGATCATTTGTGTTTGGTGTGGCTTGGAGGGTCCCAACCAGATGGTTTCCATGAACAGGATCTGACCCCCAGCTTGAGGACTTCTTACTGGCAGATTACTTCATTTTCTTTCCCTTGGATTGTCAGATCCTTACATTAATGCAAGATTTACTGCTGCAGATTTATATTCAGTTACATAAATCAGTCACATTTTACATTAAATTCACAATTTTAGACACACAGTTTAACAGTTATTTAAAAAGTGTAAAAAGATTTATATGATAGCTTTAATATATGCTATTGATGTAGTTTAATTTTAAGAATTTGGATTACATATATTTTAAAGCACTTTCCGATTGGTGAAGCAATCTGTAGCGCACATTCTCAATTTTGTCCAACATACAATTCCATCATTTTAGGTGCACTCTTCCATTCCTTCACTGGAACTTGTTATTAGACAGATCTGCAGATTCTGTCAGATAAACGTACACAAATTCCATTGAAGTTGGTAGTTGTGTGGAAGCAGAATCTGCCTCTGAGAAGTTCAACAGGTTCAGTTCAATTTTGCACTTATTGGGCCATTGTGCATCCAAGTCGGCAATTTTTTATGTAATTATAATAATTGCATGATTTGTCCTAAAATGTGGAATTTTGCCGTATGTTCATTGCACTGGCCTTTGAAATCCTGCAGTAATGTTTTGCAAAATTCAATTATACATATAAAACTCTACACGAAACGCAGGTAAGGAAACTATGTCTGTAAGCAAATCTGTAAGATTACATATGGAAGGCCTGATGCTGTCATGGAAACCCCACCAAAATTCATGGTCCATCTCCCGTTCAATTGTTGGAAACTGAATGGTAAGGTAGCTGCCTATTTAAACAAGAATTTCCCTTGGGCATTTGAAGGAGTGAAACTGTTGTGATTCCACTTCGATATTCTTGATATCGCAAAGTAAAACAAAACAAAAATGATTTGAAGAACTTGTCTTCAGTACAAAGCTGTACTGAAATGTAAATTAAGTGTAAAAACGCTACTGAGTACTGAGATCTCTTCTCAAGAGTATTTTGTAAAACATCTCCTGTAGATCTGGCTGTTGGTAATGTGATGAAGTGGAGTATCTCTCCAAGTTGGTGGAATTTTTGGGTTATTATTACCACATGGTTTGTATATCCAGGCAGCATTTGATGTTAATCATCATGGATATATATATGAAGAATGAATGATTTGTTATAAACTGTTTACTCAGCAAATGCACTGATAATATAAAAGTTATACTGATCATAACTGTTTTGTCATCTATTTATCATTATCCCACAATGGCTTGACCTGCAACCTATTGCTAATAGACCAGAAAACGATCTAATATGTCACTGTAAAAATCTTTGCAAATTGACACAATGACTGATTTACCAGTTTAAAAAAAAAAATTCCAAATCTATTACATCTGTAACAATACACCATTGCTTTTCATCTAGTATAAATAAAGTACACTCTGCAACCTTGGATCAATAAACTACTTATCAGAGATGTAATTAACTTCATTTTACAACTCAAACAGTTCTAAAACTAGAAACAAACACAGACTTCATGTAACAATGTATTTATTTTTGCAAAATTCTACTTATATTTTTCTGCCGTGAATTCTTGTCAGATTGTCTAAGCAAAAGGGCACACAAATGCTGAAATAAAGATGAATATCTGTGTTCTCCTCACTAGGCTGGCAAAGCACTTACGGTGCTGGGGAATTCCAGCCCTATTGCAAACATTGTTGTGGGCTTGAGGGACTACTAGCCTTCAGGGGAGGGTATGGAGTACAAACCTTGGTTATCAATTTCAAGCTGTGATGTCTTTTAATGATGTCAAATTGAAAGACTCTGTTACGTAAGTTTACAGGAAACAAATGTTGTTTTATCACAGCTACAAATAACATCTTGTATCCAATATTTTGTACACTAGACTTTTCCAAACAATGTGAAGAAATGAACTGAATCTTAGCTTGTACTCGCTTAACAAAGCATTCAAGTGTGCAAGCTGTTAGGGTTATTTGATATCCAGGTGCAGAATATTACTTGTAAGAGCCAAGGAAGACTAACGGTCTGGAGCTTACACCACCTCTGAGCTAACAAGTCATGATGAGTTCAGTTCTTGGTTTGGGCTCACTCAGCCTTGCTAGAAGCTCATAAGGAAATGGCAGAAGGGTCAGAAATGTTTCAGGGTAACAGCATTGCTTGAAAATAAGGAACAAAAAAGTGCTATTACATATGAAACCATATGCACTACTGCTGATTTGCAATGAAAACAGGACAAAAGCTGTATAAACTCTGTGAACTTCATTCATTTCTCTTTCTCCTTGTGTATGTATGCACCTATCCATTTGTTTTAAAGTCAGTTTTTCACTAAAGTTTATATTTTTTCTAGTTTATCTGATGATTAATCTTTTTGTACATGCTAATTACTGTTGACTACAAAGCAAAGACAGAATTTTCCCTGAAATAGGTCTTTATAGAAAGTTACAACATATAAAACGTTGGTTAGTTCTAGAGGCTTAGCCTATTGCTAGCAAAAGCTAATGAACTGCAAAAAGAGGAGGGCTTTCTCAGCTTTATTGTGAGTTATGTTCGGTTTATATGGCAACACCTTTCTGATCAAATTTACAGACCAAAATCACACTGCTTGTTCCCTCCCCTCCGTAATCATAATTTACATGAATATATTATTTTCCAACATTTTGTGTCGTCTTTCCTCTTAATTCAGTGAAAAGCTAAGACTATTTTCAATCAACTGTCATGGATGAGTAACTTGAGATTTTTTTACCAAGATGAATACTCCACATCATGGGAAAAAATGATAATCTGTTTCTGAGAAATCTTTCTTGGCTTTGTTTTTTCAGCTTGAAGTGCAATCTTGTTGTGTGTTCCTTCCGAATGATAGCCTGCCTTCCCCAAGTACTATTGTATCGGGTGACATTCCTGGGACTGTGCGAAGCTGGTACCACGGACAGGCCAGTATGCCTGGCACACTTGTCGTCTGTTTGCCCCAGATAAAGATTATGAGCGCTGGACACAAACACATGGAACCATTGCAGGAAATCCCGTTTGTTGTGCTGAGACCCATCCTGGAAGAAGGTAGTGTGATAAAAAAGCTTACTCTTTATTTTCCATTTTTTACTGTTATGAAAATTATCTTCATGTTATTTTGAACACTTCTGATATTATGCTGCTTTTTTAGCTGTATGTTATGTATTATTGATGACTAGAAACACTAATGATAAGGTTTGCCCCATGGAGGTGAAATTGACACTCATCATCAAATAGCTAGTTCCACGATACATTTTGTATGTTTGTTGAAGCCAAAAGAATTCGGAAGTGCAATTTTTACTTACCTTCATTGGTTTTGTCATTTGACTTACTGTGTAGCCATAAGTCATTTGGCGCAGCAGGAGGAGGCAGTGAGTTGTGAATTCTAAGACAGAATGGAGGCAGGTTAGGATAATCTTCTCATGCCACCTTTGCTGGCCAAACAAAGTCTTGGATCTAACATTCAGACTGGATGTTAGGAAAAGGCTCTTCACTGAGAGGGTGGTTGGTCGCTGGAACAGACTCCACAGGGAAATGGTCACAGCACCAACCCTGTCAGAGTTCAAGGCGCACCTGGACAACAGTCTTAGTCATATGATTTAGTTTTAGGTAGTCCTACAAGGAGCAGGGAGTTGGACTCCATGATCCTTATGGGTCTCTTCCAACTTCAGATATTCTGTGATTCAATGGAAGATGAGAAAAGAAATTCATAAATATAGCAGACTTTAAAAAAAAGAAAAAAGACTTTATTTGTCATCATGATAAGCAACAATTGTGTTCTGTGTCTATAGGGATTGTAGTAAGGTTTTTGTAGAGATTTGAAGAAAAAAATTGAGAAGGTTTGTATGAGTGTTCCCAGGGGGGGATGCTCTTGTACATGGGCTAAGGATGAGAAAAAGTACAGTAGTTCTTATTTGAAAAGCTAATATTTTGTAGAGGGTTGAGTTGTAGACCAATTTGAGGGAATGTGTTGGGTTTGTGTGGCAAGGTTT